CTGGAGAATTTCTGAAGGACTGAGTTTTATTTTTTAATCTTTTTTTTTTTTTTCCCAAGTCTCTTACCTCAAATCTAGTTTTATTCCTTTTCATCTTCATTTTTAACTTCAGAAAACAGACATGTTTCTCCCAAGGGAACAATTAAATGTGTTTTTCTTTCAAAATCTAAAGGGTATGGGGAGCAGGCTGTGTTCAGCAGGCTACTTTAATCAATGGAACCCATCCAGTCTACCACTGCTGACCAAATTGCAATTTACATCAGTAGAGAAAAACTTTTGAAATGGGAAGTTGTGCGAATATAATACCATTTTTGACACAACACAGCATGCAGGGTGATATGTGGTTTAATGGTTTTCTAACAAGCTTTTGGAAAAAGCTTTGAAACATTAAAAAAACATTAAAAATACAATAAGACAGTAAAATTTCAAGACCTGCTTAAACAGTGAAATCCATGGTATACGTGCAAGATTTCTGAAGTCCACATGACACTTAGGTCTCATTGAAGCTCTATGACATGGGCCAGACCTTGCAAGGTACCCTCCTTCCTCTCCCCTATGTTCAGGCATTTTTCCTCAAATATACATAAAAATTTAAGTCAGGTAAGACCAGTAATGTTGGAAAAATCATTTTTTATTAAAACAAACAAACAAACAAACAAAACCCCCCAACAAAACAAAACAAACAAGCAAAGCCCCAGTAAACACAAACAAATAAAAAAGCTCAAGCAATGGGCATCTGAAATTAGATGGAAAGTTTTTGTTTCTTTAAAAAATGGTTTTAATATGAGTTTTATGAATTCACCTGTCTTCTAATGTTAAAGATGCATATTTTTGCATATGATGAATAAAACAGAATGCATTTTTTCTAGATGGCAAGAAGACACAAAGAATATCAGAACAGTTAGGGAGAAAATTAATTATGTTACACACTGAGAAATTTAGCATACCAGTGGTACCACTGTCTCTTTCAAGCGGAATAGATACAGTAAGAAAACCCAGACTGAACAAGCCCTGCAGATTGCTGAGGTTAACAGTTTCGTGCATACTTAATTTCATAGTTATTCTTTGCAAGTCTTACAGAAAGGTTTTAACATTATGCAAAGAGACAGTGCCTCCAACCAAGTATACATGGACTGTTCTCTCCTATTGCCTTAGAGAGCCACAAAGAACTAGGGGAAGAAAAATGCTGCTGTGGTTATCATACAAGAGCTCAGTTTATTTGTGCTATAAATAAAAGTAGATCTTGATAGTATAATTACATTTCTCAGCATTATCCTCTGCCATTCACTTGAGAAAGAAAAAAGGAAGGGGAGAAAAAGTTTGCTTCACTATAATTTGTAATCAAAATGACTACACTTAAAACATAATTTTATTTCCCCGATTTCATTTCCTGTGGAGCTCTGTGGGGCAAATAGATAATATTATACAAAATCTGCAGGCCGATAATTCTCCCATACATTGCACTGTCATTGTCTAGATCATTTTACCCCCCTAGCCTTGTTTTCCTTGGGACCATGGCCTGTGGTTTGATATTGAATTTTATCATTGTGGGCTATATCAGCATCAGAAATCCCAAGGGCGAATCAATTTTTACTCTTTTACTTTCTCTAATTTCTCTTTTCTGCTCCCTTAAATTACTCTCCCTTGCCTTATTTATAATGTGAGTTTAAAAGAAAAAAAAAAGGTGGTTTCCCACTATGAAGGATTAGCACAGATTATGGTGAACAGTGTTAATTATAGGTGAGGAAAAAGAATAGTGCATCTCTCCAATCTATTCTTGATTTCCCCCGTGTCTCTCTGTCTGGTAATAAGCCTCCTTTAATCTGGCAGTCCCCTTGGTGAAATCAGCGCCATGGACAGCAATATTGATTGCTTCTGAGAAACCATCACAGCTGCTCAACCAAATTACCTTTGATATGTGACCTTTAATGTAATTACTGCAACATCAAAGCATTTCTATAAATTATTAAAGAACTAATATACTTCATCATACAGCCACTCTATTATATGTAAAATAAACAATCACAAGTAAACACTAGATTTTGAATTGTCCAAAAGTCACAAAGTGCTCTTTACACATATATACACACTGTGCTACATTAACCTTCATTCTAGGCAAAACAATTTCAAACTCTCCAAAAGAACCTAATTTACTCATTCAGATGAAGAAGATTCAAATGATAGTTTTATGTTTTACATTCCAGTTGCTTCAAAATATGTACCATGTTTCCTTCCTACCCAAAAACAAAGTGCCATAAAGACTTTATTAATCAACACATACCTGCTTGGAAGTCTTTTGATTATTCCACAAGATAAGTTTATGTCCTGAATATAACATAGAAATATGTGAAACATATTTCTGTCATAGTACCAAACACATCCAGAAAGTAATTACTGTAAAATATGTGCATGTAGCCACTCCACTAAAAACAAAGTGATACATAGCTAAGAGGCAAGGCATCTGAATCTGGACAAAACCTCCTCATGCCTCACCATTTCCATTCTTGTGCATATTATTAAAAAATTACTTAGTTCTGTGTTTTATAATACAAAGAATATGAACAGCAATATTGCAAGAGCAAGAAAGTGTACAGTGTACTGGAGAATGGGAAATAATGGTTTAGTCTAGTACTATTTATTTTTTCCTATACCATGCCCGTTAATTGTTTTTGATGCCTCCTCAGTCAAGCTGTTTGTGTCACAGACAGTGGAGTGTCAAGAGAAGATGTTGTATTTGTCTCATTTTGAACTTATGTGAATAAGGACTTAGACCCCGACCTTAAAAGTGCCTCTTATTTTATGGTGATGAACTATGGTTGATATTTTTGGTGCATGTTATCAAGAACAGTCAGGTAAATAATAAATAATTCTCTTCTACTCAGATAGGAACCATAAAACAGTATCCAGGCACAGTATCCAGGCATGATACTTTATCAAGAGACAAGACTGGTTTCCTTAAATAAACTACAGTGATGTCATTCAGAGGATGAGTTCAGAAACTTGGCAGAAACCTGAATGAAGAGGGTTTGCTGGTGGAAAGTAAACCTTTATCCTGAGACAAATAGAACAGGAAATGAAAGGGATGGGAAAATCAGTGTTCAGAACTCTAAGAAACCTGGTTGCACTTTTATACAGAGGATTCACTGCTCCCAGCTCAATGAGATCCTGATGCATCTTCTGAAAGTGTATAAGGAAACAAAAAAAAAAAGGCCTTAAAGAGGCAGTGTGGCCAGTATGGAGTATATGTAAGAGAAACTGCACTAGCCAAGGAAGAAATTGTTTCCCTGTAGTCTAGAAAGAGTTGGTGCAGCCTTTGAAGGAAGTCTTGATCCTAACACAAAAGCTGGTTGAATTTTACCACTGTCCAGGAAAACAGTTTTGATTTTAAGAATTTTGTGATTTAAAGTCTCTAACACAGAGATTGAGATTCAGAACTATGACTATATAAAGAACTTAGGGGAAAAAAACCCTAAATTATCACTTGCCCTCCATAGAGTTCCATTTGCAAGTGAATGATCTCCCTCCTAATGAGAAGTTCAGGCAGTCTCAGTGGAAAATCTGGAATTTCAATTATTCTTTTTTAAATACACAACACCTTATTCATCACATCTCTAGTTTAGATAAATACGTACTTTATTTCAAACATATTTCAGAAAATTTCAGTTAAAATGTTACCTGAAACATCCCTATTCAACATATTCTCTCTCTTTTTTTTTTTTTTTTTTTTCCATCCAGTTTTATCATTCAGGAAAGAGAGAAGCAAAAGGAAAATACTGGAAAGGGGAGGAGGTAGAACAACTGAAATCGCCCCCCACAAGACCAAAGTTACTTTCAATCTGCTGCTAAGGAGTTTCCAGGAAAAAAAATTTCAGAGGGAGTTGTCAGCTGACAGAAATATTTTTAGGCAATGAAGTATGTATATATTTGCATAAGGTATGGCCTTTTAAGCAAAGATAGATGTAGATGAGCAAGTGCGTAGGCATCTCCATACTGGCAAGGTGGCTTAGAGATAGGTAAATACACCCAGGATGATGGAAACAAGCAGAGCAGAATCAACACTTTCCTCAGAACACAGAGCAAGGGAGTGTCTTAGATCTGGGGGAAAGGTAGGTTATAGCTACACAGCAATCAATCATTCAACCAGCTAATAAAGACAGACTTTTAGATAGATTTCCTCTCAGTTTAGGCGCAGCCTGGAACTCTCAGAAGCCCACTCTTCGTTACGCAGTCACTGGTTCCTGCTCGTTGTGAAACCAGCACCATTCCAGCTACAGGAGCACTTGGCTGTTCCCAATCCACGTACTCTGGTTGAATCTAAATAGTCTCTCCCTCCCCCGGGTAACCACTTAACTAGAAACCCATCCCAGCAGGGCAAGTCTTCCCTACATAATGTTGATTCTATTTTTAGTTCTGCTTGTGTTGTCTGAACCTTAGATCTTGCTCATGTGAATAATTTTCCTCATTATCTCGTGTGCGTCTTTCCTCTCTCTCTCTTTTCTCCTTGTCTCACCGCCTTTCCAATCTGCTACAGCTGCTTGAATACTAAAGTAACTGAGTCAAACCACTTTGTCATCAGGAATATGTTTTCATTCTGTGATAACTCAATAATGTGATCTGTTTCTTGATTTCTTGCTGCCAAACCTTGCTTCAGAGAAGAAAAGTAGCAAGAGGAAGCACCTGGTGAGGACTTCTAACATTTCCCTGTAGTGGTCAGAATCATAAAGTAGTTCCTCACCTGAGTTAGGCTGGTAGAATCCAGTCCAATACCAGTTCATTTCTGTTTTCCTCACTCCCAATAAGGGCAAAAAGCTTTTAGTTTTGTGCATGGAAACCATTTGGGTGGCTTGGTGGTATCTTGATTTTATTAGTACAATGCAAATACTGAATTATCCGAACAAACATAGACTTTCTGCTTCCAAATCTGAGATAAGAACACCATAACCCATTTTAGACTTAAAAGGAAAGGAAAAAAAAAAAAAAAGTTATCAGTCTCGACTCACCCCCGGCAGTGTCTTCTGTTCATGCAGTGCGCTCTGGGCCTTTAGAGCAGACTCCCTTTCGCAGTATGTTAGGAAGGCACAGCCTGCAAAGAAAAAGAAACATCTCAGTAACGGTGCTATTTCAGAGAAGATCCTTCTGAAATTGAGACTTAGAACAAACCACTTTCCTGTCATCATCCCATTCCCAGCAAATCAATCATAAAATTCTCTCCTTAGTGTGTCAGTAGTAGAAGTCAAGAAATGAAGCTATCATAGCTTCCTCTGAATCCTGGTGGAAAGTGAGCAACAGTGTACTTGTGAGTGCTTATTTTTCCTTCAACACATGCTTAAGTATCAGCTACAGAAGGCTGCACAGGATTAGGGATCTCAAAGGTTCCACATGATGGCAAAGTGGGATGAGACATCCCACTCCTACTCCAGCAGCAGCACTGGGAACAAGGCCCTTGCTGCCATATGCTGAAAGGTTTCATGCCTTTCTTTTATACGAGGTACTTTAAGAAAAGGACATACAAGGACTTGGAACTTCCTATTGCAGAGGAAAATTTCTATTGTCTAGCCTGACCTGTATTAAAAACTCATTGCGTTTTTTGCATCACACCAGAAATCCACCTCCCTGCACTGGCTGCTGCAAGGACTCACTGACTTCCAGTCATAAACACAATCATGCCAAAGCCCAAACAATCACTCCAAAACATCCCTGACCCACAGATCACTTGGACTTCAGAGACATATTAATGGGTTACGTCTTGGATTCTTCTAAAGATTAATTTATCAACTACAAAACCTAAATCCCTGTCAAAGTAGAACCCTGCTATGCTTTCATTCCCCACCTCTATGCTTCCCTTCCAGTAAAACTGGTTTATGTTGCAATATCTTACTCCATTTGTGTGTCTGATGTGATCAAATTATTTCTTCTTACTGCAGTATACTGAAAACCTGCCAGTTTCTGCAGCAAAAAATATGCTTGCTATGCAGAAGACATTTTCTCTGAAATTACTACAGAATGTCTCCAGTTCCTTGAAATGGAGGTATCATATCTTTTAAGGTTCAGGCAGCATGTCCCTCAAACTAAGAATGTCTTTCAAGAGCAACACAAATTCAGAGAGATTACCAAAGAAATAAACAAGTCCCATAATGTCACCTTGACCCACCCATCCTCTCCCCAAGAATAAGTAAAGTATGTAACAGGTGAGTAAACAGTAGACTGTAAACTTTTTCAGCTTTGATTGCCACTGTGAGCATTTTATCCACACAATGTTCACTGTTTTTTCCAAATTGTTTCCTTTGATAATATTACTGAAGAAATACACACTTTTATGTGCTTTTAATAGATTAGCACATACAAGAAAATAGGATTTTTTTTCTATAAATTTACATTTTTTTATCAAAGACTGTTCTGTGGAAGTAACCATACTCCTCTCACAATGAAGATATGATATGGCATGAAAAAGAAGAAAAATACATTTTTTTTTCCACTATTTCTTATCCTGTATTACTTTCTGGAGGTCTTCTTACTTTCTGTTTACTCAAGCCAATCACATTTACTGTGACTCAATAACTGATATTCAGACACAGAATGTGACAAGCAAAAAAGGAGACTGAATGTCATCAAAAGTTTGTGTACTTGGAATTATTTTGATTTTCTCCCCTCTAACTTTAAATGGATGAGTTTTCAGTTAGTCTGTATCCACCAAGGAGAGGAAGAAATCATAGCAGAGTGTTTACAGCTAGCAGAAGTAATGGATTGAAAAGGATCCTTAAAAGTCACCCATAGCCTGATAATCAAATGGGAAACTATGCTTAAATTTAATTTCAGTGCTAAATCACAGGCTGAGAGCTCTCTGTTTACTAGATACAATAAGAAAATCTCCCTTCAGCAACAGACGTGGAGCAGCTGATACAGTCTAATTAGGCACATCATAGCACACTGTTATAGAGATAAACTATGCAATGTAAAGCTCTCATAATGATAGCTATATTTTTCTCCTCATTGTGATTGCCATGATGACAGTTCAGGGTAACAATGTCCTACTCCTATAGTACCAGGACTGTAATTCAGGCCGAGTAAGCAGAAGACAGCTCTTCTCTGAAGGTGGGTATTTTCCACCCAAGATCCACCCTGTGTGTGTGTGTGTGTCTGTGTGTGTGTGTGTGTGTGTGTGTGTGTGTGTGTGGAGGCAAGTTATCAAAAGAGAGAAACCTCCACTAAGTTTTCTTCAAACCTATTGTCAAAAGTGGTAGAAGTACCAAACTCCCCAAATCAGTACTCAGAATGTATCTAATTATCACTGATATAACAAAAACACTGTTATGAACTAAAAGACCTTGAAATTGAAAAGAAATCTACTCTCTCATATGATCAGACAAAAATCCCTCCTGTTTTTCAGAGACAAAATGTATGCTCTGTGCAAGTGTTTCTTTTTCCCTGTTCATTCATGCACATGAATTACGATCTATCTCACACATGTTGGGTAAAAAGTAATATTTCTATGAAAAATAATATTTTATTTAGTTTAAGTAAGGCTTGATTTCTTAAAGACAAAAAGAAGTTCCACCCCAGCAGTGGCCTGAAATGAAATAAAATAGAGGCCTCAAACCTGAACTTAAAAAGGACAGCTCATGGGGATTTTTTTGTCTTCCCTTTCCTTACCACAAGATTTCTCTGTAAGGCATATATGCAGCATTAGCCATCAGCTATAATAATATTTTTTTTTGAAAACATGAGGCCTTTTATAAAACAATACTTATCTATTATTCCATTGTGCAAGAATTTCTTGTGCATTTCTTGCACCATCCTGCCTGTCTCTCTGAAACACCAAAACTGATCTTTACTTTGTACTGTGATGTTTAAAGGAATGAGAACCTCTTTCAGGTGTTACTTTTCCTAGGCTAATTTTTTCGATGTGCTTCCATATGACCCCTCCAAAGGGTTCTTCCTTCCTGGAGAATCTTACTTAGAAAACACAACACTAGACACTCAGATTAACACTATGGAATACAGTGTCCTGAACAACTGAGTCTTGAAATAATGTTGTGCAGAGCAGCTATGTTGGGGTTTTTCTCAGAGAAAAGAAAATGAGAAAAAGTGGTTTGCTTTTGTAGTATTTTTTTCTCTTATTTTCATTTTGATTTCCCAGATGAAACAAAATTTTAGAACAATGAGTTTTCCTTGCTGAGTCTCATGATTGTGTAAAGAACACTTATTTCACTGGGAAAAAAAGGTTTTTCATAGTAAACTCCTAAGTAGCTCAACTGCTCACTTGCCATCAGTTCGTGGGTGTGAGCATGACTTTTGGGTGGAAGGCTTCATATTCCATTACAAAACATTTGCACCATCCATCTCCTTTGAATTGCCCATGTTCAGCAGTATAATGAACGTTTCTCAACATATCTCTTAAGTAAAGATAGTGTGAAAGCAATGCGTTATTTCTATCCTCCACTTCTATGGGTGGTAATGACTCAGTCAGTACAGTGCTTGTGAATCATATCAGAATTTGAACAAAAATTCTAATTGACAAATTGACAATGAAGGGCTTGGTCCAAACTGTTCCTAATTTCAATTCCATTTTTCTCATGCATTCCAGATATATGTAAATCAGCTAAAAAGTCCTGTGTTTGGATTGTGTCTTTCCAGCTGTTCATTTGCTACCAATGGACAACTTTTGGGCAAGCACATAAACATCTGGAAACTCCTACCTGCTCCTAATCTATTGAACTACAGTCTCTTGAAAGCATGAGGACATATCAAGTTGTCTCCTGGGAAACAAGATTGTTAAAGAGATGGTGGGAAACAAAAACAAAAGCTTGAGATGGAAAAGAAATTACAAAAGCTCTACTTTAATTTTACCTCCAGAGAATTCAATAGTGCAAATAATAATTGTATGACATACAGATGGATAATGATTGTGGCTATGGCAACTTCAACTTCATAGTAAGCCTTCAGAATATTTTGCACAAGCCTAGGAGGCAAAACTGTCAGGAGACACACTGTGAACTGAACAAAGTAATTCTAATAACTGAGAAACAGTCACACAGCCTGAGTTGAAGAAGGCAAAGGCAGGACCTGGGAGAATGGACAACAACCCACTTTAGCAGAAGATCATGTTTGAGACCATCTAAGCAACCTCAAAATGCACGAGTCCATGGAACCTGATGAAATTAATCCATGGGTCTAGAAGGAACTGCAGAGGAAGTGGAGACCACCCAGGTAGCCACTAATTGGAAAAGAGGAAAAAATAGCTATTTTTAAAAGAGAAACTTGAAAGACCCAGGGAACTACAGGCCACTTTGGGTAAGATCATGGAGCAGAGCCCTGGACAACATGCTACATGGAAAATAAGGATGTACTTAGCGACAGTCAAAATTTCTTCCAAAATGGCAAATTGTGCCTGGCAAACTTGTGGACCTTCTACAAAAGGATTGTAGCACTGGTGGAAAAGGGGAAAGCAACTGACACCATCTACCTGGATTTATGCAAAGCATTTGACACTGTCTCACAAAACATCCTTGTCTCTAAAATGGAGAAAAATTGATGTCAGGGATGGGCCAGTGGAATTGGCTGGATAGCCACACTCCAAGTTTTGCTGCCAATGGCTCAATGTCCAAGTGGAGAACAATGACAAGTGGTGTTCCTGTTTCTCAGGATTTGGTATTTGAACTGGTGCTATTAACATGGACACTGGGTTTCAGTGTGCCTTCAGTAGGTTTACCTTGAAACAGAAATTTGCTCTGTGGAGCAGTCCACCCTCTGGAGGAAAGGGGTGCCATCCACAGGGATCTTGACAGGCTTGAGAGGTGGGTCCATGCAAACTTTGGGGAGTTCAATAAGACCAGGTGCAAAGTCTTTTTGGGGCAAACTCAAGCACAAATACAGACTGAGCAGAGAATGTATTGAGAGAAGCCCTGCCAAGAAGGACTTGAGAATGTTGGTTGATGTCAGCAATGCACACTGACAGCCCAGAAAGCAAACCATGTCCTGGGCTGCAACAAAAGAACTGTGTCCATCAAGTTGAGGGGTGTGATTTTCCCCTCTAGTCCACCTTTGTGAGAGTCCACTTGGAGTACTGCTGTCATTTACAAACTT